AGCCACGCCCACCAGCCAATCAGAGCCGCTATATGCAAATTAACCCAACCAAGATGGCGGCCGGCAGACACGGAGCTGGAGCAAGCAGGAGGGTTGGTTGCCCCGGTGATGGAGGAAGGCAAGCTTCCCGCCTGCCCTGGCCATCTGTAGCATTGGCTCAAGGCAACAAAGTTTCAATTATAGAAGATAAATAAATCCCAGATACCTGCTTCCAGCCAGCCTCCACTGGGAGCTTGGGTGGCTGGGGGCCATGGCCAGCCTGCAAACAGCCATCAGCCCCTCACCCAGGATGGCCACACCCTCATGGAGTGTGGGGGCCTTGGCCAGCCTGCAAACAGCCATCAGCCACTCACCCAGGCTGGCCAGGCACCCCAGCAGGATAGCCCTCCCTGAAGGGGGTGTGGCCAGCCTGAAAACGGCCCTCAGCCCCTCACCCAGGCTGGCCAGGCACTCCAGCAGGGACCCCCACCCTGAAGAGGGTGTGGCCAGTCTGAAAACAGCCCTCAGCCCTTCACCCAGGCTGGCCAGGAACCCCAGCGGGACCCCCACCCTGTCCAGGAAACCCTTCAGCTGGCCCCCACCCATACACCAGGCCTCTATCCTATATAATAAAAGGGTAATATGCAAATTAACCCTAACAGCAGAATAACTGGAAATGACTGGTCAGTATGACACACACTGACCACAAAGGGGCAAATGCTTAATGCAAGACTGCCCCCTGGTGGTCAGTGTGCTCCCACAGGGGGAGCTCTGCTCAACCACAAGCCAGGCTGACAGCTGCCAGTACAGCGGTAGTGGTGGGAGCCTCTCCCACCTTCTCAGCAGCGCTAAGGATGTCCGACTGCAGCTTAGGCCTGCTCCCCGCTGGCAAGTGGACATCCCCCAAGGGCTCCCGGACTGCCAGAGGGATGTCTGACTGCCAGCTTAGGCCCAATCATCTGGGGAGCGGGCCTAAGCCAGCAGGTGGTCATCCCCTGAGGGGTCCCAGACACAAGAGGGCACAGGCTTGGCTGAGGGACCCCCCCCCCCCAGTGCACAAATTTTTGTGCACCAGGATTCTAGTTAACAATTACCAAGAAGTTGACTTTTTATTGATATACCTAGGAGATAAATGTTGTCAATGGCAATTTCCCAGAAGACCTCCAAAATAACCTATGAAGAAAAGCTAAGTTTATTGCACAATGCAATCAGAGAGAACAATAATTTGACTCTTTAGAATGTGCAGAAGAAAGGGGTGGCAGGATTGTGGGAAGATAATGTATATTGCTTGTTAAGACAGTTATTTCAATGAAAGTCTGGATGTAATAGTTTAGGATTGGTGAACACAGAGAGGGAAGCATCTTGAAGTGAGTATTAAGTAAACAGTTTAATTATTAAGAAATTTTCTCAGTTTTAGAAACATATGGTGCAGCTAAATTAACTTTCAGAATAGAAAATTGAGTTCGTGTACTGATTTACAGACGTGTGGGCAAGGGTATTCAAGAACTAAAAGTAAAATCAGCTTTGGTTCTTGGTCCTGACAATTGAGGTGAATGCATGGGGGGATGCAACGTGAAGTGTTTTACTGGCTGCTTTGTGTGGAAGAGGTGTAAATTAAAAGGTTGTGTTTACTTGAAAGACCTTAAACTAGGATATACCATTGTTTTCTTTTTTTTTAGACAAATAGGGAAAATGGATGGGACAGAAATGACAGCAATGTGGGGAACAGACACCAAAATGCATTCTTGGAGCCAGGGATGGAGAGGCCAGACAGGGATTACATCTTTCATGCTTTTTCATTAAGAAAAAACAAAAAACAAAAAACATGACTGGATTGAATATATATTTAGGATAGTTGACTCATTGACTCTTAACTTTCATTGAGTTGAAAAGGAAGATGGTTTATTTAATCAAGATACTGTATAGACATGCATAATACTGTGTTTCAAAAATATTTTAAGAACACTTACCTTATCTTCCTGTGTTAATGTACTTCACTCCTTGATCTGGTTCACTCATATTTCATTACCTAATATTAAACAAAATATGAGATGACGGTTTTGACATATGGTTCCCTAAAGGGATTGATTAAGTGCAGTAATGGGAGTTTCAAAAACTGGGCGACTTCACTAGTGATTATAAATCAAATAGGAAAGTAGGATAAATATGAGACCCAGTAGACCAGATTTTAAAGACCAGAAAAAAATAAGAAGAATTAATTATGGCAGATCTTAGATACTTTTAAAATAATTTAGGCAGAAATCTGAATTAAATATTTAGCTAGAGAGTTACCCTTGAATTTAAAAAACAAATTCTCCTGCTGCTGCAACATTGACAGTATTATTCGCAGGAGGGCAGAGCTAGCGGCATTTGTACAATCTCAAATCCTGTAGATTTGTTCAAGCCTAAATAATTACCTAACAAACTTTACTTTAAAAAATGTTAAGGTAACATTTTTATCTTCTCAAACAAGCTTCACTCACTTCCAGTTTGCTTCTAAAGGAAATCAAAAGTAATTTTCCTTATTCTGCCTCCGATACAAGCTCTCGCCTGCCTGGGGTTTTCTCTTTCTATGAGAGACTCTGAGGCCACGTGTTGCTCTCTCTCTTCTATTGTAGAAGATCTGCCCTTCACACTAAAATTGCTCTCTAAGCTCCTCTTTCTCCCCAAGCCCACACACTTCATCCTTATTTAGAGTTTTGCAGTGTACTTATCTTCTGCAAGAAAAATCGCCCATCAAGTGACTTTGTCCTATATTTATCTCCATGTAGAAGGGGGGAATCCCTTTCCTCTTAATTTATCATAAAACTATTATAATGATGATTTGTTAAGGCATGCACTCTATCCCTTCTTGCTAATCTATAATGTTAATGTTAACGAATATCAAGAAATGATATAGAATTGAGAATATCAACCAAAATAACAGAGGGGATTGGTTGGGCTTGGACTATTGATTCAAGCATTAATTGAGTCAGCTGACAAGGCCAAGTAACAGAGGTGACTATCGTTGCCTTTAGGCTGTGATCACAATTTTGGGATAGAAAACAAAAGAAAGATAGAAAAGAATATAACTATGTATTATGTGTGTAAACCTGTTAGTTGGTCAACATCATAAGAAAAGGAAAACAGGTGAAGTTAATGAGAAAAGTAACCCAATTTATTTATAGCTAACAAGGGTTCAGAAGGTGATGTGATGCCTTATTTTTATTTATGTTTGCAAGGCCTTATTTTAAAGATCACATAGAACTATCTTGCAGTCTGTGCTGTCTGCCTCCGAAAATAACTTCAAAATATTTCTGTCTGTCTTCCTTCTCTTTTAAATCACCATTTATTTTCCCCTCTCCCCCAGGCCACAGGTCCAACATGTCTCTGCCCCTATGTAAATAAGGTCAAAGGAACTACTGCCTCTCTGTGCCATCCTTGACTCTAATATGAGAGTCAGATTGACCTCTCAGTCTTCTGCACGAAACACAGACAAAAAGGAAAAGCAAGACTTACTTTCAATAATATTGATTGATTCTCATCATGTGATTTGTAGGTGTTACGATTTATAATATTGAAATAACTGGAAAACAGGTCAGAAAATCTTGCTTTGCCAAAGTGTCAGACATTTCTATACAATGCTCGTCACCCTGCATGCAGTCCTTGCTTACTGTTACAGAGATGAAGACATTCGGGATCTTAGTGGTTGTAACTTACATAACTTCATTGGTTATGAATAGTGGACTAAATCCTCTTCAATACTGCCTTTCTTCCAAGAAGGGCAGGGGGTTTGGGATATTTAATACCATAGGAAAGGTTAGTGGGTAAACTAGAAAGATATTATTATTATTAAAAAGAATTACTCAAAAAGAATTTGCAAGGCCTTATTTTAAAGATCACATAGAACTATCTTGCAGAACTATATATATATATATATATATATATATATATATATATATATATATATATATATATATATATATTGGCTTGTGAGTATCCTTTCTGACAGTTTTCCCTCAGGTTATACTTTTAGTCTGAGGTATTCCTATGATAATTTAATTTCCTGATGAATGTGGCTCCAAAATATATAAAATCAGCAGCTGTTCAGAAGCAATTACATTATTTTAGATAAAGACACCCTTCCTCTAAGATTGACAAAGTAGATAGAGTGGTATGCTAACAGTTTCAGAAATATCTGTTTGTGTTTTATAATCCTGATGTTTAGTAAATTTTATTAGTGCAGTCTTCAACTGGCCTCTAAAATAAGGTCAGTTTCATTGTACTGACATACTGGGTAAACCTCTAAGTACAGAAACCTTTTTCAAGACTTTTAAATGGGGGAAACACTGGTCAGAATTTAGTACATGAATACAATACATAATATTGAAAATCTTCCCATACATCATACACATTTGAAGGTAATTAGTAAAGCTTAAAATATCTTCATTTTAGAATGTTATGCACAAAAGGGGCCTTATCATTAAAGATTTTGATCTGTGATCACATGAACCAGATAAAATGCCAGAGACAAAATTTCAACCCAAAGGAAAAAGATTAGAGTAGGAATTGGATGGTGGCAAGACTGGATACACGAAAAAGCGTGCATGAGGTTGGTTCAATATGAGTAGCCCTGGAATTGTGTAGTTATGATGAACTGGCAGCCCTTTCTGCAAGTTTAACTAGATCATTAATCAGTAACAGCCTACATAGAAAACTGGAGGCACTTCTCATTGTTCCTTCTTTCTCATTTCAGAATGGGCTGCCGATTGCCCATATTTTAATTAATTTTTATTTGTTAAATCAGGATTGTGAGTGGCCCTCTCACTAACCTTGTTCTCGTTGCACAATAGGCCATATGCTGGGTGGGCTTCCATATCGCTGAAGAGGATTAATGTGAGCCAACTCTAGAAACCTCTGGTTATTAAAGGCTACCGATGCTCATTCTACTGTGTCTGTTAATGATGCACATTTTCTCCTCCACAGTTATTATGTTACCTAGTCAATGTGATTGTCTATTGTTAATATCTTTGTTGTTGCAGATACAGATGTGGTGTATAAAAGCGAGAATGGACATGTCATTAAACTGAATATAGAAACAAATGCCACCACATTATTATTGGAAAACACAACTTTTGTAAGTAATGAATGCTTAATTACTGTATGCGTTTCATTATTGTTTAGAATGTTCTCTAGGTATACATATTTTTTCTTTTTTTAAGGTCTGTCACTTGCAAAGCACTTAGGGGAAAAGTTAGGGCTGGAATATCATTAGAATCAGTTTATCGAGTGATAGAAAAATACCCATGTGACCTTCTGTTTCATTTTCTTCCTATTTATCCGTTGTAGTAAATAATATTTCCAGGAATATTACTTACAATGAATATTTCTTTTATAATTTTTATGTAAAATTAGTCATACTAATGCCAAGAATTTTTTTATGTCTAGTCCAACAAGTTATCATTAGCTTTTTCTCCCTCTACTTTTTTTTCTTTTTGAATTCTTTCCAATTCTGTATTGGTTTCCCAACTCAAGCAGAAGGCAGCCTTTCTAAAACTGGCCTTCTGTAGGAGTTGATGTGTTTTACTTTTAACATTTAGTATTCTACCAATATCATTTTCCAACTCCAGGATCATTGTTTAGATTAACAGTGTTCAAATAAATGAATGTATGTATTGTACTCTTAGAAAGAAGTATAAACTTTGCCTTTCTCTTAAACTCAGTCATCTTAAGGTTAGATTTAACTATGACTACCTGTAGAGTAAGTGATAATATATTAACTGTTGCAAATGTTCAAAATCTAGCCATCAAATACCACTTAAAAGTTACTTGCTCACTGTTTTATATAACTAAAGGTTTAATATATTGCTTATTATATAAGCTCACGAGTTAGACAAAATATCATGCTAGGCCTCAGAAGACCTAACCAAATTAAAGCAATGAGTGAACCATGAGCTCCTTTTTTTTTTTTTTTTTATTCCTACATATCCATTTGGAATTAACTATTAGTCTTCATGTGTATTGTAGGATGGCCAGATGGAAGAGATAAACTAGAACATTCTGGTGTTTTTATATATTAAGAGAAAATGGTCTTTGCAAATCATGAAGTGACTATATGGATACATATCTATTAGGTTAGCTTAAACCAGGCATGGTTTAGCAATTGGGTTATTACTAACAGAGAATAATGAATTTTTTATTTTTAAACTATTAAGGTAATTCATAGATATTAGAGGAACACATAAGTTGGATGCAATTCTTTATAGCACTTGTGGAATGCTGAGTATGTATAAGGCATTTGCTCATTTTTTAAGAATATGATTTTCCGTATGGGAGATGATAAGAACCCTCATGAAAAACTTCAATAAACAGTATCAGCAGGATCCAGTATTTATTTTTTTTAAATTTTATTTTGTTGCTTAAAGTATTACAAAGAGTAGTACATATGTCTACTTTTTCCCCCCATTGACATTCCCCTGGCCTTCCCCACCCCCCAGTATCTTGCATCCATTGGTTATGCTTACATGCATGCATACAAGTCCTTCGGTTGATCTCTTACCCACCCCCCCCTCCAGTATTTCTTAATTACCTAGACCTCAGGGATAGTAGAGAGGAGGATAAAGGAATCATTGAAAGTTGCTGAAATCAATGGAAAAAAATGCCCGCAATAGGAGATTGAACAGGAGGCAGAAAGAAGTAATTGGTAATGATGAGAGGGTATAGTAATTATTTGCTGATTAAAGTCAGTCTGAATTGATTTTCCATAAAATTAGTTTGGAGAAAAAAATTAAAAGCATTTTTAATTTTATGCCCCTTATTATAAAATATTGTCTTTGGGGGTTAGTAGAGGCTGCCAGTGGCCATGCGCGTGCTAGTTATAGTCACTCAGTAGGTCACCGAATATTATGTGACTGTTCTTTTTTTTTAAATATATGTTTTTTATTGATTTCAGAGAGGAATAGAGAGGGAGACAGAGATAAAAACATAAATAATGAGAGAGAATCATTGATCGGCTGCCTCCTGCAAGCCCAACGCTGGGGATCAAACCTGAAACCTGAGCATATGCCCTGACCAAGAATAGAACTGTAACCTCCTGTTTAATAGGTTGACACTCAACCACTCAGCCATGCTAGCCAGGCGTGACTGTTCTTCAGTGATCATTCCCCTTGTACAGTCTAATGAGATCTTCCTTCTGGTCTCACATTATGTATTATTTTTCATCATTTACTTCTTTCTGTCTTAGCATTTATGATACATAAGAAAAGAAACAAGAACAAGACTTTTGGTTATTTTATTATCTCAGTTTTATTATTGGGACTTCACACCACCCCTACTTCATATCATTGTACTTTTCTTCATGTGCTGATTTAGGCCATTTTATCTTTGTGCCTGTATGTTGTCTTTTTAAATCCTTTTAAGGTATTTTTTTTTTTTTACTCTCCTCTATGCAGTTTATGACTCTTAATTACCACAAAGTCATATTAAGCAAATAGTCTTATTCACTGATCTTCTAAGATTCATAGATTCACTAGAAACATTGATCTCACAACACAGATAACTAAGCAATTTTTAAGTCCTAGAGGTGTCAGAATTCAATGGAAGGGTAGGCAGGTAAGTGTGTGGCATACTAGTGTCCTGGTGCATGAATTCACACACATTGAAAGGAAATTAATTAGAAGAAATATTTTAATATTTCTATTCACCCTTTCTCTGTAATAGAAGTGTAAACCAAATTCATGATCAGGATTCTACTGAGTCTCCTATCTACCTATTCCAGGACTTCTGTGAGGATCAAATGAGATGATGCATGTGAAAACACTTCACAAACATTTGGTTAAACTGTAAAATGTTTGCACCTGAGCAATTCAGGTTCCTGGGCTGAAGAAACACCAAGGAGGCTGGTCACTAGGGAGAGGAAGCTGGGCGTTGCTATCTGACACCATTCCCGGTGCCCACAGCGACTGTTTCCAGGCTGGGCTGGCCCAGGCTGTGGGCCACATTTTGCACCATGGGGTCTTGGCAGCGTTGGCTGCGATTTGGTGGGGTGTTGCTCCAGGGTGGTGGTGGGGCCTGTGTCCCACTTGGGGGAAGCCGAGTGTTGCTTTGTTAACACCAGTTCCCTGGTGCTATTTCTTTTTAAATGGCCAGTGCACATCTTGGCAGCTCCTGCATTGAGTGTATGCCCCCTGGTGGTCAGTGCGCATCATAGTGACTGGTCAGAGGAAGAATGAACACTTAGCCTTTTATATAAATAGATATTTGCAGCCAGTTAACCCAAAACTGAAAACAAAAATACAAATTACCATGATTCCTGATGATTTCAGAGGAATTCATTTGATCATTTCCTCCCAATTCCAAGATAGCATTATTAAATACAGTTGTGTTTGTAAACCTTACATTAGGCTAATGTCTGGATTTATGTTCTATCTAAGGCTTTTCTTTTGGAACAAAATGTTCCAAAAGAACTTAAGAATTTTATTCAGATTGCAGGTTATTCATTGAGCAATTATCAATATTTTAATTATAATCATATTTAATTGGATCAGATTACTCTACAACGCTTTATAATAGAAGTGTGCCAAGTCAACTGAAACAATAAACACATGATTCAAAAAAATTTGATAACAGATTGGCCTGTTATTAAGACATATTTTGCTAAGATGTGATTGCCAATTTATTTTAAAAATTAAGATAACACCACATTGTCAGTTCCCTGCTTAAACATATTTTAAATACAAATAGTAGGTACTTTTAACTATGTAGTCATGGTTAGCAGACCATAACAATAATGGCCATGGTTGGCAAAAATAAAACAAAAGTAAATCATTTTCCTGAAATAATTGTCTTAAGGCATTCTTTGAGATGGACCATAGGTGGGATTTCTGATAAAGGAGGAAATTAAAGGGTACATAACTTTTTGAAGGGGAACTATATTTAAAAAGCAACATAGCCCCCAAATTGCTCTTAATCTTTTCTAAGTGTTTGGAAATGTTATGTCTTACAGACAGAACTATTTCAAACAAAAGCTCACTCATAATGACATAATGAGGAACATGTTTCACAAGTATTAGCTGGCCTCTTTCTGCTGTCAATAAATTGAATATCACTTGTTGTCTTGACAGAAAAGGCCAGGAGCCATAAATACATCTATCAAATCACTTTTTGAAATTAAAATGGAATTGGAAACATGGTCCCAAGCCATGTGCTTAAACATTGTAAAGGTTACAAAAAATATATTTCATGCACTAATAAGAGATAACTAGTTGAGAATTTTATATCTCTTTGATTCTGAAAATCCATAATCTTTTAAAAACATGCTATATAAATAACTTAAAACAGAGGGATGAAATTTATATATGGTAACCAAAGAATTCCAAGGAAAATTTTAGTCATAAACTTTTTTGTCCAACTATCTATTTATAATTCATTACATGATAATAGGTTTGACTAGAACCAGCAGGTATTTATTGCCTTACCATACATACAGACAGAATTAATTGGTTTGTATGCCATTGTAGTATTTTAATTTATTTATTTTTGTTCTGCCATTGGCATATGGGGGTTGGAGGATAGATCCAACTCTATGTGCAATCATGAAATTAAGAAATTATATTCTGATTCATGTTTGAGGAAATAGGTGCACTATAAAAAATTACAGCAGCACGAGAAAAGAATTGCTGGATAAAGGCAACTAAAATTTCACCTTTTAAATTTTGAAATAAAGATTATCACAAACTTCTGGCTGGCCAAGTGGCCTCACATGCTGGCTAGAGTAAAGAAAAAAAATGTGTGTTTTAAAAGATCTGGACTCAGTGGTATATGTCAGTAACCCAGGAGTGATTGCCCTCAGTAGTGAAATGGATATTAACTAACCAGTGAAGTCACAGGAACTGTACACTTACGCATGCTGCTGTGTACATGACAGTATAGTTTCTTTCTCCAGACCACTGTTCTCAGTGTGGATACTCTTGCCCCTAGGAGACATTTGGCAACTTAGAGACATTCTTGATTATTATGAGTGGAAAGAAGAGATGAGGGAATCTGGTGAGTAGAGATCAGGGATTCCATGAAGCATTCTATAACATTCAAGACAGCTCCTCACAGCAAAGAATTATCTAGCTGAAAATGTCAGTAGTG